GAGGCTTTCTACTCCCGTAAAGATTTACACCCTCGGAAACCCTGTACAGGGTCGCTATGGGTCGGAACCGACTCGACGGCACTTAACAACAACAACAATATATTGTTGGTGTTTAATATGTATATTGCTGCTGTTGTTGGGAATAAAAACAGCAAAGCACATATCAATTTCTAAACAACAGTACTTCCTTGTTTCATTAATTAGTTCTGTACTTCATCAAATCAGTGTCTTGAATCCTTAAAAAGTGATTTAAACCCTTGATTTAAAGTTATCTAGATTTATTTCTGACTTATTTTCTGTTATAACTAAAATAAAATGCTAAAATATATGTGACTAAGTTTAGTTATACAATATTCTCAAGCGAGACCTAAATCTTACTGAAGTCAAGTTATTTTCCTTTACTTCATCTAGAATTATCAACAAGTTTATATGTATGATTAGACTTATAAAGTTTGTAGGAAAATTCCATTATCATTTTATTCCATTATTCTTTGAACGTTTTAAATGTCCCATGTATGTGTGCATATATTCAGATACTTGACAATCACTAAAAATTTTCTTCAGTGTTTTCTCTGTGAATTTTAATAGTTTTTTTCTTCTTGACTCTGAATGAATGGCTACAATCTGTTGCTCATTTTTTTTTTTGCATTATTATTATCTAAACATCTGTAAATACTAAATTAGAAACCTGAGTCATGTTGGTCATGTGCTAATTTTATCTCCAATGTTTTTCTCTTATTACTCTTTATGTCATCTGCCTAGTTGTGTCTTTAAAATATTGTGGAGGAAAGAATAAAGATAAGAAAGGAGAAAAATGATAATGTTAATTGCTTCTAAATGTTACAGAGGTCAGTCATTTTTTCATATAAATTTTACATTCATTACTTTATTTAATCTTATAGCAGATTCATAAGATTAGAAAAAGAATGGTACCTTTCCTATTTAGAAAAACTAAGTCCTATTGCCTTTATCCTATTGTTATTAGGTATCATCAAGTCGGTTCCAACTCATAGTTACCCTGTACGGGGTTTCCAAGGCTGGAACTCTTTATGAGAGCAGAAAGCCTCATCTTTATCCTGAGGAGAGACTGGTGAGTTTGAACTCTCTACTTTATAATTAGCAGTCCAAAATTATCCTAAGGTGCTGCTAGAGTTCCTTTTGCCCCTGTGGTGGTGGTGGTTGTGTGCTAGGTAGCCAGTTGGGACTCATAGTGAGCCTGTATAGGATTTCCAAGTCTGTAAATATGGAGCAGAAAGCCTGTTCGTTCTCCCTCAGAGAGTCTGATAGATTAGAACTGCTGACTTTGCAGTTAGCAGCCCAACTCGTTACTCACTATCCTACCAGTGCAGATTAATTAAGAAATAACACCAAGCTACAAAGAAAACCAAAATACAAAGCAGAGAAATTAAATCTGACTTTATAAAATGGGATATTTTGTATTGACATTCATAAATTTTGCATGCAGGAACAAGCCTGGATCTCAGTATTTTTATGTGTAACATGAAATATTCTCAATGGTAAATTTTAGTCTAAACTTCAATCTACAATAGTCATTGTAGATATCGGGGCCCTTAAACTAGTAAGTATAGTTAAATAAAACACATACTTCCTGACTGTCAAAGTCAATTGCAGCATGGTTTTTAACTTTGGTCATTTAGCAATTTGTATTTAAATTTTTGTAACTATAAAATTTTGTACTTATATTTTTAGAACGATAACATTTTCTTAAAGGATCTACCCCTAGAAGGAATGGGCAGATTGCATCTTTCTTTGACAATGCACCAGCTTTTTTAGTCACCAGTTCTTTGATTGTTGTCCTATCCAACCAATCATAGCGGTACTCTTAATAAGCCTCAGCAATCAAGATATGCAGGAAAGTTCTAGAAATAGAAGGACTCTTTCTCTCCTTATTTCAGTAACATTTGGCTTCAGTCAGAAGACCTGCAAACTATTGTCTCCTAAGAAATCACCTACCATGGAAATTCTTCTCATTTGCTCTATTTTGCTCTTCACTGGTCTCATAAAGCCACCAGGAAACATGACTAGCATTGTCATTGGGAGTCAGTGTTAAAAGAGGAAAGGGTCATTCATGATTTTTGAAGTTAATATCCTTTACATTGTAGGATATATTAATACCATCTTAATTATCATCCCCTGTGGAGATTTATTTTAAATCCTCTACTATAGGACACAATCCCAACACTTTTTGTTGATCCCTGAAAGATGTGTTTATTTAATATTCAAGTTCTTCTGTATTTAATATACTTATAGATTTGGGGGAAATGGAGGAGTGATGCATTTATGTTTCGAAGTTGTTCATTCCAACATTTATTGAGAGCAGAGGTTAAATGAGGTAAAATGATTTCCTAAAACTTCCCAATATTGTTATATTCATAATTGAGACTGTTTGGTGCATGTCTACAAAACCCAATTAAATTCTCTTCTTTATCTTGCTGCTCTCTGTGGGTCACTAAGGTATCTGTCACTATTGAGAACAAAAGAGTCACTGTGAAATACATCTTCTGAGTCTATTCTCTTACTAATATTTTTGCTCAGCACTAAAGCATAAATAACTCTTTTGCTGACAATGTCTTACCAACAGGAGAGAAGGGGATCAATTTCAATTTATTCTGTAACCCAAATATATGAAATTACTTGAAATAAGAGAATTGTTTTCTCCATAATCTCCACACACACAAACACACACACAAAATTATTAGAGCAGACTCTTGAAAATTCCCTTGTTTTCTAGAAAAGTCCTGATAGAAATTATTTAATATTCAACATATACTGATGGATAATAATAATGATAATGATTTTAATAATTGGAACTTTGTTCTGCCTTGTACCCACATTAATTTATTACTTCATCTAATAGTCATGTGAGGCAGATTTATTAATAGCAAACACAATTTATTCAACAGAATTTAAAAGGAATATGTGCTTTTTTAAAATGAATGTACAATATAGGGGTGTTAATTCTATAATAAATCTGTTAGGATCACTATATCTGCAAATATTTTTTATTGTACTTTTGAAAAAAAAAATTTTGGGGTCTTTTTGTTCTTCACAGTGGGCTCCAACCAGTCCTGTACCATAATTGACAACTATGTGTGTATGGGAATTTGAAAAACTGTTCTCAAAGACACATAATTCTTCCACTGTATTTGAAGAGAACAAATATGAGATACAGAGAAAAAACAGTAAGATAAAATGTTTTATTCAATATTTGTCAATTTAAAATGAAATCTCTTATGTTCTTCTCCCCTCCTCCACTTCTCACTTACTTAAACTATTGTTATTCTTCAATGTCTGTCATTATGAAGATTGCAATTCATGTTCAAAATGAGAAACAAATCTTACTGTAAAGTCATAGAACCTAGCTTTGGATGGATCCCTGGTTAGACAAATGTTCGTAATATTTCCATCTGGAGGAAATTCTCATACCATTGCCTTCAGCATTCTTAGTTTTCCAAATGTTGTTGGTGCTATGATGCTTAGAAATCATGCTGCAATCTCCATTAGAAAAAGTTCTCCTGGTCTGTCATCACTGTCCACATAACCCTGATATCTTTTGGGAGCAAAAAAAAAAATGTATATTGTATTAAAAGTGTGAAAATTAATGCAATTTGAAAATTTAGTTGAATGAGAAGTTTAGACAGGGATTTGAAACTTAATTTTGGTAAGAACATTTTCTGCTTTATTCCTGATTCATAATTCTGCTGTGAGTACCTTGTGAGTGATATGCGTATTATGGTGGTGGAGAGGAGAGGACAAAGAGAATGGTTAGAATTATTTCATGATGGCATTCAGAAAGGGACTTTAATGAAGAGATCTTTGAACAATTAAATTTATACAGGAGCCCTTCTACCGCAGCAGCCATTGAAGAGAAGCAGCCATGGCTATGCACTACACTATGGCCATTGGCCTCAACAAGGACTGCAAAGTAACCAAGAATGTGAGCAAGCTGAGGCACAGCCTGCACTGTGGGTGCCTCACCAACCACACCAAGTTCATGCAGGACGTGATCCGGGGGGAGGTGTGTGGCTTTGCGTCTTATGAGCGCTGGGCAGTGGAGCTGCTCAATGTATCCAAGGACAAGCAGGCACTCAAGTTTATCAAGAAATGGGTGGGGACACACATGCTCCAAGAGGAAGCAAGAGGAACTCAGCAATTTCCTGGCCTCCATGAAGAAAGCAGCTGCCAAGAAGGACTGAGCAGGTCCCTGTCTACTGTGCTCCCCTTCCCCCCACCAAATAAAAACCTTTACAATAAATACATAAATAAAAACTTATACAGGAAACGCTTGTCTTTTTTTATTATTATTTTGTTGGGAGCAGCTAAACCGAAGGTCCCTGACTTGGGGGTAGTTTAACAGAAGGATTGCAACTGAACAGTTGTGGAACAGAAACTCAGCCTGCTTCCAAGTCAAGCTCTGCCCGAGAGGAAGTTGCAGGGCTGCCTCAGGGGACAGGGAACTTGCAAGGTCTTTCCTTGTATGTAGGTATATCCTATGGCTTAGCCTATGTAATATTCTAGCCACCCTAATCAGTGTTCCAACTATCAACCACAAGTTACCGTTTTTGTGATAAAGTTCTGCTTACTGAAGTCTCCTTCAGTAAAAGATGTTCTTGTACTCCTTACCCTCCCTCAAGCACCTCCCCTTGAGCTGTGTGTAAAATAAACTCCCTGTCTTGGTCTGTGCCACAGTAACTCTGTCAGAGTGCTGTGTCCCACCTGGTCCCAACTTTACTTATTCTCAATTGTGTCTTGTGTCTTTCTTTCATTTCTCATCTCCTATCATCCCTACTCGGGTTTAATGTCTCTATGTGGGTCATGGAGACTAAAATTGTCAGACACAATTGGCTACCCCAAAATTTATTATTGGTCTATCCCTAAAACCTAGAACAGTATTGAATAATAGCAGATGATCAATAAAAATTTATTCAATAAATGGATGAATGAATGGTAGCATGAAGAGAGGGAGAGAGGAGAAACAAAGAAATACTTAGAAAGCATTGAAAAAAATAGAAAGATAATTTAAGAACAAGATACAAGGGCAGAATTATGTAAAAGATTGTCCATTTGTTGGATCAAAATGTCAAATATTGAGGAATTTTCCCTGATGATGGAGTAATATTAGCTAAATAGGACATGACTAATATTTTTGAGCTTAAGATGAATCCAAATGGGTTTGATTACAGAATGCTACAAGAATTCATTCATAGTGTTAAGTATTTATATGTTAGGTTACTAATTGCAAGGTCAGCCCTTCAAATCCACCAGCCACTTTGAGGCAGAAAGATGAGGCTTTCTGCTCCCATAATGATTTACAGCTTGGAAATCCTGTACAGGGTCGTAATGGATCAGAATCAACTCAACAGCACACTACCACCATCACCAAGCTACATAGAGAAATAATTTATTCTTTTGTTATATTTGTTAAAGTTTGTCAAACAATTAATTATATCAGTTATGATATTAATAAATGTATTATAAAAACTATATTGATGCATGAGTTAAGTGCACAGCTGCTAACTGAGCGGTTGGAAGTTCCAGCCCACTCAGCACTTTTGGTACACTCCAATAGATAGTAGATTGTATAGCCAGTTCATTATATACAGCACTGGAAGGTAGTGCTGGAAAATTAAGAGCTTTCCTAAAATGTTCAGTGCATCAACTTCTATTTATCAACTATTTCATTATGCTACTCTCCCCTATGAGCATTATTTAAAGAAGAATGTTTCCTGGAGATGAATGAGGATGCAAGAAGAGTTGAGGTATTGGAAGTAAATAACAGCATCTTTCAATATAAGAAACTTGTGAAATCAGACTACATACTTGAGAAACAAAGTCTTGTGGAGGTGGAAAAATTCCCCATAGGATAGCATTGAGTTTCAATAATAAATGAGGGAGAAGATAAAGATGGATCTACTCATATTCAACAGTTCTAGGGGATGAGTGAGACAGAGAAACATTAATAAATTACAAGCCTTCCAGGTATCCTTTCTTGGGTCATAACCTAATCAATTGAAATAAGTGTGAGGCAACTGGTTAAGGAAGAGTTGCTTGCTGATATCCTTAATATATATAGGGATAGAAAGATTCCCATGTAAAAGCAGCTGAACTAATCCTTTTTTCTTTTTCTTCCTCTCTGTTATCGTGGCATATCCTTCTTGGATTATTAATTCCAGTTATTCATTCCTCCCAGCCAGAAGTAAAGAACATCATGTTGTCTTTAGCGAGTGGAATGCATGTATAAAGCTCAATGGTTAATGTAAAAAGCATTGTGATGGAAATCAAAAAAGAATTGCAAACTGTGAAAGAAATACAGTTAATTGCTGCTTGAAAAGATGTAAACCTGTAGAGACAGAAGTAATAATTCCACAAAGAGAAGACCCATCTTAATTAAGTCTTCTGGTTGTTGCTTTACTTCATTCATGGCCTAGAATTTCTATTTAAATAATGAAATCTTTTTTTTTTTTTTTTAAACTGTTTTATTTAGAGGAAGTGTATTTTTAGGCACCAACATTGTCCTACATGGAAGCTAGGATCAAAAACAGATTGCAGCTTGGATGTCAGGAACAGAAGGCTACCTGAACTGCTGTGTTAAATGAGATCCTGGTGCCAACTCTATGATTAGTGTGAAAAGAATGTTATAACTTTGGTGACTAACATCAACCATTCTTTGGGGGGAAATCAGAATTAGGGAGGAGGGAGCTGATAAAAAATAAGATATTTGTTATTCTTAACCTAGTGACAATGATGGATTGGTTTTAGGAAGGTAAGTCAAAAAGTATTGTCACTAAGGTTCCAGTTCATACATTCACAGATTTGAAAGGTTATAGCAACTGTTTTCTGTGATTCCAGAGTGGTAATCTTGGCAGATTTTTCTCAAAGGACACAGGATGATCACAGGAGCTTATTAGGAAGAAGCTGTAACTATATTGTAACTTATTAGGAAACTATATTGGTGAGAAAAAAAAACAACGGAAAATAGCACTGAGAAAATTTTTTTTCCATCATGGCAATGCACTTTTCTTCGACCTTAATAGATTTGCAATTCTGAAATTGAAGATGTGCTATAGCTACATATTTGTTATTCATTCTGGATATGATAAAGTGTTGACTGAAAAAGACCACATAAGACTTGAATTAAATATAGTACATCTGTTAGTATGGGGTAAATTGGATTCTTTCTCTGTTCAGATAATAACTGAATATTTACAGTCTTATAGGCCAATGACCTGGCTGTTAGACCAGCAATTAAGTATGTAAAACACCTTCATGCTGACAATTGCAAAACTCCCTATGGGAATGGTGATGATGGTGGTGTTCCATGGAGTCAGTTCCAACTCATAGCGACCCTGCCTAGGGTTTTCTGGACTGTAAATCTTTATGGGAGCAGAAAGTCTCATCTTTCCCTGACAGAATGGCTGGTAGTTTCCAACTGCTGACCTTGATGTTAACACCCTGACTCATAACCACTATGCTACCAGAGCTCCCTGTGGGAATACTGAGGGGGAATTAAGGGCTATGTGAATGCTTACTAAGAAAAAAATGGTTGCTGGTGTGCATAAATACAACAGCAATTGCCCTGGTTGAGACCCTGGAGTTAGTAACTTGTGATGAGCATGTGCAGAGCTGCTGAAACATGAAGCACTAAAATGGCATATTCCATGTTTGCCTATTGAAGCTAATACTGTAGTCAACTGTGCTTAACACCAACAGAAATGGAATTTTGTAAAACTGTCTTAAGGTAAGTTTCTGTTAGAACAGAAATCATATTACAATGGACAAATATACTAAATCAGAACTCTACAAATAGCCTCTGATGACTTCAAAATAGTCTACCTAGGCTATGATTATGCTACTTTGAACCTTGTTTCTCTAAAACACTGTTTGCTATTGCTGCTTTTAAGTTCTGTTGAGTCATTTCCTACTCATAGCAATCCTGCTTAGGGTTTCCAAGGAGTGGGTTTGAATTGCCAACCTTGTAGTTTACAATCTAGTGTTGATCCTACAGGACCACACTAGGAGTCCAAAACACTGATTAGGATATTATTCATGAACTGGAAAAAATAATTTTATGAAATTTTGTCTGCCTTTGCTACCCTTGATGGAGCAAGCAAAGACAAAAATAATAATCCAAAAAGCTTATTTTTCTACTTTCAGAATAATAGCTTGAAAATTAGAAAGAATAAAGGTGTGAAGTATAGTCTCTTAAATGTTGCTAAATATGCATATTAATTAAAACTTAATATAAAAGTAGGAAAGGGAGAATTCTTACAGGATTTTTTGATCTAGAAGTAGGAATGGGGAGGCAGCTCTAAAAGACATAATATATCCTTTTTGCCCAATCCAGTTGCACAGGAACCAAGATTGTATGAGTACATGTTTTCTCCAACCAAAGAAGGAATCTCTTCATAGGTGCTATTTCAAGCTCTTTTGTCACATTTTTCCCTGGTCCCTCTCTATCTTGGGGGTCTAAAGAATTAGTCCCACCAAGTTGCCACTTCTCAGTCTCACACAAACAATAAGTGTTCACTTAGAATCTCTTTATTGAAAAGCAGAAGTACGCTATCGAGAGAGAAGCGGGTCTGTCTCCAAGAGTGGAGAAGACGTTTTGGGATTGGGGTGTCATCCATGGTTTATAAAGGTATGGGATCTCTTCCTTGAGGAGTGGGCTAATACATATTAATTAGGTGGCATGGTATGTTGAATATTCATGTGTTGTTTTTTTTAATAGAGGAGCACAGGCTTCTTGGAAATGGGGTGCCTTCTGTAGTTCTCAGCTTTAGGCGCTACCTTCATGGGTCATCTGCCTATGACCAGCTACTTCTATCAGGGTTTCAGGTTCTGATATCCTTATCTCTGTGTCCAAGGTATTCTCCTCAATATTATCCTTCTTGTTGGACTAGAGATGTCCTCCCCCTTCCAGGGGAAGCCAGGGTAAGAGAGGCTCAGGACCCCAGGAGTCCTAACTTGTCCCTGACACTTTGTATTGAATTGTATTTATTTCATGGAAATAAAATGACAAGAAAGTCCTTTCCTGATGGCTAAAATCTGCCTGAGTGTAAAGCCTGCTGCACTGAATTACCCTTTGCATTCCTAAATCTGCTGTTTTTCCAGGAATGCATGAAAAGGAAAGACTCTTTCAAGTCTATACTTATTACATGTACTATGGCTGGGCAGAGTGGCTCAACATATGAAGCCATTTTAGGGAGACCCAGTATGAACTAAGAGCTGGGGAGACAGAAATGTCATGGCAAATATAATGGGAACATGTAAATGGGGAATAACATCCAGGAAAGATACCATCACTGTTTCCCACAAAGCGTCTTAAATCTAAAGAATTACACAATTAGCAGATTTTCTCAGATATAATAATGAGCGATGACTGAATACTGGGAGAAACGTCAGTGTTGTTCTTTCTGGAATGGGAAAATTAGACAGGCATTAGTTTGCATGACATCTACAGACACTATTTGGGAGATTTAGGGAAAGATATTAACAAGCAAAACACCCCAATGCTATACCTAAATAACTACAGATTGAAATGTCCCTTTGAGTCACACTTTATTATAGGGGCACTGGTGGCATAATAGGTTATGGGTGGAGTTGCAAGCTCATTAGATTGAGTCCATCAGTCCCTCTGCTGGAGAAAAAATGAGGCTTTCTGCTCCTGTGAAGATTTGCAACCTCAGAAATCCTACATAAGGTAGCTATGAGTCAGAATTCATTGATGGCAGTGGGTTTATTATTATTATTATTATTATTATTATTGATGTTTATTTATTCTTTTGCAGATTTGTAAAAGAGAAATAAATCTTCATTTGGGTCACATTTAGGCAATTAGATTCATTACACTGTGGCTGGCAGTGGCGTTAGTTATAAATTGAAATGACCTTTTGCTGTGAAAGTTAGCAAGGTATATAAGAAAATACAGTGTCACCTCCTGCCCACTTTCTCAAAAAGTATTCTGGATGTGGATGGAATGTCACAGAAGCAAGTATTTATAGAACCAAATGATGCTCAAAATGGCCAATAATGATGTAAAATAGAGGGCACATGTCACAGATGGCTCCATATGGCACCTTAAAAATGATGAAATTCTCCTACCAAACTGTGCTTAGGTGTTGAATATTCACAATTAACTCCTCCCTGTTTCTGAATGCACATATATATTTGCATCTACATCTCAAGTACTCAATGGCAACAGATCTTTTGGTGACTTAATCCACATTTGTTAACTTTACTTAAAAGAGGCTCAGGAACTTTGCACAATTGACTGAATGTGCTGAATACAATGAAAATGGCCCTTCTAGAATGAAAATAGCCTTTCCCTAACCGTCACAATGAAAAATATTTGCTAAACTAATTGGAACACTAGAGGGAGGTCTGTACCAAGAATCCTGTCATGTCTGGCTCTCCATGTAGAAAGACAATGAAACAATCCTATAAAAGACTGGATATATTGCTAAATTAAAGGAGCACAGAGTTTAGGAGCAGTATTGGGAGAGGCCATGTGTCCTGAAAGACGTATAGACTTGTTCATTACAATGGAGTCTGAAAAAGCAGTGAAATGGCATAACAGAGGCACAAGCAGGGAGATACAAATAGTTAACACATATATGCCTGCTGAGAGAAAGGTTACCAATTGAGTCCATTCAGAAACATCTCAGAAGAAAAACCTGACAGTATATTCCAGAATACCAGCCATATAATTAATCCCTGTAGAATATAAACCCTATTGGAACACAGTTCTGTTCTGAAACACAGGGACTTGCCATGAATCAGAATAGGCTCTGCAGCCACTGCTTTTTTAGTTTGAATTAGAGCACTACTTCAACTTCAAATTGTGACAAGAAGTCAACCGGCAATGTGGTTTTATTGTTCTCTCAAGGTCAAGGTCCATGGACTAAAAAGATCAAGTTCTCCATAGTATGTTGTTGTTGTTAAGTGATAGCTAAGTAGAAATCCTACCAATTAAAGATCAACAGTGTGCCATGCTCATGGGTGGTACTTGATAAAAGGAAGCTCAAGAAAGCAAAATCAAGTGTTATAATGAAATGTGCAAAGACCTGGAGTTAGAAAATCAAAAGGGAAGAGCATTTTTCTCTAAGAAGTCAGGAAAAAGTTTTAGTGTGATTATGAGTAATGAAGATTTAAAAAAATATATAGGTTATTTTTCCTTAATTGGACTACTGAAAACATAACAACTCATATTTCACTCATTGGTCTACAGATTTTTGTTTTCTCCCTTGACCTCAAAAGAGGATATATATATGTGTATGTGTGTGTGTGTGT